TTATGTGTTGGAAAGGCAAATCCATAACCAGAATAAGTATTTCAGTAAGAACAAAGCGTTTTCCTATCCATGAAAGAAGTGTTCCAGTGTAGACAACCTGCCACCAGATAACTGGATGGTCATCCTAGAGAATGGTACCATATTGTAACAAACCCCCACTTGTTAGCACAACTGACTCCATGATGGGAGTATCATTCAGTCTGTAAAACTCAGCACTTAGCCCCACCAGCCAAAAATGAAAGCAAAGACCTAATCCATCGAATTCCATAGTTCTGGGAAAGTCTCTATATGTACTAATCTTGTTTTTTGGCTTCTATACTTCCATTTCTGGATAATCATAATCCTTCTTGATAACTGAAGTATGTCAAATCAAAATATGTTTTTTGTACTTAAAAGCTCACCCTGAGAAAGGCTTGGTGCTACACTGGGATTCTGGCTACTAAAAACTTTCTGTTGGCTTACCCATGTCTGAGGTGTTCTCTGGTGGATGCCCCACAATAATATCTGGGGCTGAGGTTGATTTGTGCTGCTGGTGCTCAGCAGCAACTGTAGCCAGGTCAGCTTTGGTGAGCGGAAGTGCACGTTGTTGTACCCTCCCCTTTGTCTTTCCTTCTACTGCCAGGTCCTCAGATATCAGTTATAATAAATAATTAATTTATTCAAGGCTGGCCTTGAATCCTTGAGTCCTCCTGTCTCTATCTCCCAAGTTCTGTGATTATAAGCATGCACCACCAATGCCCAAATGTTAAAGTATCTAAATACTTACATCTATCTATCTATCTATCTATCTATCTATCTATCTATCTATCTATCTATCTCAATGGACTGGACAGTCTCTTCCTCCTGATTGTCACAAAAAGATAGTTTCTCTAACATTTGAAAACAAAACCTTCATTTCACTGAAGGGAAACTTGAAGCTTATTAAACTAGTTCTTAGAGAGGCTAGAGGTCTCTAGACAAAGCCCTGCAGCTGGTAAGCAAAGGAGATGGGATTTGAACTCTGTGTACACCATTTCTTGCCATTATCATCCAAAATGTTCACCACCAGAGCATCCATCGCCCCATGTATTCACTCTCAGGCTGACCTTAGTCTTGGTCTAAACTCTACTTCTCGAAGCTTCTATTTGCAATCCCTTTCCCTAAAATTAAGGTCAATTCCAAATGTCTTCACTTCACTTTGCTGGGGGAAAAACTTGTACAAACTCTAACCTCACCAGCTAGGCTGACTCGTGGGGCAAGAGTTTCCACCTAAAAACTGAGAAAAAGGATTCTAAAACGGAGCTAAAAACAGCTTCCTAATTGTCTCTCTCAAATGAGCGGCAGCTGCCGGTTTGAGCTACTGGCAGGTTCCTAGCGTGTGCGCTCGACCTGCCACCATATGGCGGGAATGAGGCCTCTGCAAGTGGCACATTAAGCTGCATTGTGGATTTAGCCTTTGCTAGTACAAAACAAAAAAAAAAGGTTTCTGGGCTACACGCTGCTTGGATAAAAGCATAGACCCACGATAGCTCCCAGAGCTGGCGGAAAACTACAGTACCGCCGCTGCCATGTTGGGAAGCTGAGGTGGGCGGAGCCAGCAGCCACAGCTGCTGCAGCTTAAAGCAACAGATTCACAATAAGACAGATTCAGATGTAATAGTTTAAAATGTGTGTAAAATATACGTAGGCTTAAAAGAGAAAAAAAAGGTGATATATACAGTATAGAAACAAATACATAGTTTTAAAAAATAAAGTCTTTAAAGAGACAGTAAAATTAATATAAAAAATAAGCCACGTGAAGATGAATATTACACAGAGAATCTGGATTGTGTTGTCTTTGGGATTCTTTTTTTTTTTTTTTTTGGTTTTTCGAGACAGGGTTTCTCTGTGTAGCTTTGCGCCTTTCCTGGATCTTGTGCTGTAGACCAGGCTGGCCTCGAACTCACAGAGATCCGCCTGGCTCTGCCTCCCGAGTGCTGGGATTAAAGGCGTGCGCCACCACCGCCCGGCGTCTTTGGGATTCTTAACTACAGAGAGATGTTTGATTGTAAAGGAAGCTGAGTTAAACCAGTACGTATATTTTAAAGATACTTTGACTTCAAAATTTGGATGTAAGGATATGTTGCTTTGGAAAAGAGTCTCTTTTGTTTCCACAGAAAGCAAGAGGCTATGGATTTGTTCCAGAGTAAGATACATCAGGTTTGACCAGCCAAGACCCCCTGAAAGGTCTCCGATGACACCATGGCCCAGATGATCCAACATCCAGAACCGTTTCAAGACAACTGGCTCAGATGATACAGCCTCACGGACTACTCCATGATCCTAAAATTTTCTTTGTTTCCCCAGAAGATACAGCGCCCCCCTCCAGCAGGAAGTAGTAAGAGAAGCTACGCCCAAATTCCCAAATATACCAAGCTGACTTTGGAGATGTGTAAAGGTTAAAACCTTCCTTTTTAAGAAAAGAAAAGGGGAGGTGCTGTGGGATGGTCTGTATGTCAAATGTGTTGCTGATTGGTCAGTGAATAAATCACTGATTGGTAGTGGCCAGGCAGGAAGTATAGGCGGGACTAACAGAGAGGAGAATAGAGCTGGGAAGTGGAAGGCTGAGTGAGGGAGACACTGCCAGCCGCCATCAGGATAAGGAAGATGTAAAGTACCGGTAAGCCACAAGCCACGTGGCAAGGTATAGATTAATAGAAATGGATTAATTTAAGCTGTAAGAACAGTTAGCAAGAAGCCTGCCACGGCCATACAGTTTGAAACCAATATAAGTCTCTGTGTTTATTTGATCGGGTTTAAGCGGCTTGGGACTGGCGGGTGAGAGAGATTTGTCCTGACTCTGGGCCAGGCAGGAAAACTCTAGCTACATGTCTTCACTTCACTTTGCTGGGGGAAAAACTTGTACAAACTCTAACCTCACCAGCTAGGCTGACTGAAATCATTAATTTTGGAGACCACACAGCTGAGCAGTACATTGTTAGCTTCCCACTAATGTTGCAGTAGGTGACATCTCCACTGTGTGGGTTAAGATAACAGCTGCCTAGGCTAATTTGCAGGGTCATGGAAGCTATTGCTGTTGGCCTGCTGATGTGCAGTGGGTAGCTGAAATGAGATAAAAATGTTGGTCATATTTGTCTTCACATTGTGTCTATCTCCTTTGTTGTGAGACCCTACTCAGCTCTGTGTGTGCACATGGTGAATATTTGGGAACTATTCTGTTCTGAACCAAACTAGAGGATTGCCTTTGTCTAGATGTATCTTGTTCCCCCACCTACCCACTCACCTCTCCACCCCCCACTTAAAGGCTAAGAACTCTCACTAGCTGCCATGTTCTCAAAGCCCAGACCAGGAAAGCAGTTTTAAAAGGTGAAACTCAAGCTCCTGGAAGATGTCTAACTAGTCCTTGACAAAGGCCATTCAACATTCCTGTGTATCTGTAACTCAGAGTGGACAAGCTCATTTGTGAGCAAATAGCCCACTTGTCTCTTTTTAGTGCTATGGACCAGACTGAGCGCTTCATGCATGCTGGGCAAGTGCTTTGCCACTGAGCTGCATCTCAGGACCCCTTCTCCATCCTTCAGCCAGCAAATGAAAAGTCTTTGTTTTTGAATCTTAGTTCTCATCTCTTGGGCATTGGAGTTTTGCTTTGCTTTGTTTTGAAACAGGGTCCAGTAAAAAAAAAAAATGCTCCCTGATCTCTTTACCAAAGCACTTTTTGGTGGGTACTTTTGTAAGTAGGACATTTCCCTCCCTGAAATCTGAATTTCCTCTCTCCCAGTCTCTTCCAGCAATCCCCTGGTTCCGCCCCATCCTTATTCTGAGTATCTCTGTCCTCTGGACTAATTAAACCCCTTCGCTCTCCCAATGCATCATCCTTATCTGGGCAACACAATCAACTCCTCTAATATTTCTACTACGTTTCTCCATCCTTGCAATTTGTGTGTGTGTGTGTGGGGGGGGGTCTTTCTATATGGTTCCTGCCAACTCTCTCTCCCATTGTCCCCAGCATCTCTCTTCAAGCCCACTTCCTTCCTGCTTTCCAAAACACATCCAGCAAGGGCTCTCCTGTCACTGTCACTGTCCTTCCTGAATTCAAACCGTCTTCTCCGAAGTCTGGTTGGATGGAATCAGTATTACCTTTACTGAAGTCTTCACTATTTTATGTAATACTGTTGATTGAGGGAGATTCGAGATTCTGACTTGATAGTGTCTCACTGAGGCATTTCTTGGAACAACCTATTATGCTCTGATACTTTGGTATCTCAAAAGCCGCAGCTGAATTTGGGGCAGGAAAAGTCTGGGGTGCTTGTATGGACTATGAGATGCCAAAGACTAACAAATGCTAAGAACACCTTCCTCCTCCCCACTGTTGGTGGGAAGGCTTGAAGGGGAAAATGTAGACCTTGTAAAGATGGGTAAAGTCTGCTGGTGGTGGTGACACACACCTTTAATCCCAACACTGGGGAGGCAGAGGCAGGTGGATATCTGTGAGTTAGAGGTCAGCCTGGTCTATAGAGTGAGTTCCAGGACAGCCAGGACTACACAGAAAAAACCCTGTATCAGAAAACAAAAAACAAAACAAAAGATAGGTAAAGCCTCCTGAAAACCTTCTTCAAATCCAGCCTGTCTCCCTGAGTGTGACAGACTCTGGGAAATCAACAGAGTTTCCCAAGACTCACAAACTTGTCGATGCCTCCTTTAAGGTGCCAGGGACTTTATGGGGCCATAAGCTGGGCTTTTGTACTGCTGGAAAATATATCCAGCCACCTTCCTGCCCCAGTCTCCTCAGTGCTGGGATTACAGGCATGCACAGCAACTTTTAAAATCAAATACTTAAATAACACCACTGCTGCTCAGTCCAGACTTGAGCAAAGGTTTGTTAAAAGCTCTATCATGTGGGATATTAATGACAAAACCTCTGAGCAGCGCTAGCTGGCTGCAATTGGTGTCTTCAGGCAACATCTTGAGGGACTGTCACGTTTTCTTCAGAGTTTTATTGATGAGTTTCTCAGTAAATCTACAGCAGACTGAAACACAAACAAACGCCAAGCTTGTCATTGGCTATTCCTTTCCTAAGGACAGAGTGGCTGCCCTCCCTGGGCTGAGATAGTCTCAGATGTTGCTTGACACCTGGGATGTTAGGAATAGATATGGAATAGAATAGAACAGTGATGTTTCTACAGAGATGCAACATGCCAAGCATCATGCAGAGAACTTCAACTATTTTAACCTCTCACAACAGTCCCCTAAGGTGGCTGTTTGCTATAATTATTATCCATCCCAATTTTACAGACAAGGCATCAGTCTACAAGGTACAAGCTTGTAATCCTGATTATTTAAGTCAGATGATGCGTCAACTGTGAACTGAGAGGGTGTCTGCTGAAGGATCTGGTGTATCATATATCCTGAGGCTCAGGAGAGTGATGCATCGATGATGAACAATCCCTATATCCTATTCCTTTTTGAAAATTTTATTTATTTTAATTTTATGTGCATTGGTGTTTTGCCATGGTTGTTGGGTCCCCTGGAATTGGGATTACAGACTATTGTGAGCTGCTATGTGCTTGCTGGGACTTGAACACAGGTCCTCTGGAAGAGCAGTGAGTGCTCTTGACCACTGAGCCATCTCTCCAGCCCCGCTATATCCTATTCCTAATGTGATGTTTAATATTGTCAACTTGATGGGATCTGGAATCCCCTAGGAGACAATCTCTGAGTGTGCTGTCAGGGTTTATCTGGATTAGGTTAGCCTCTGGCTATGCCTGTGAGGGTTTATCATCTACATTAGGTTGATCTCTAGGCAAGCCTGTGAGGGCTTATCTAGGTTAGGTTAGCTGAGGTGGGAAGATACACCCTAACCGTAGGTAACACCATTCTGTAGACCAAGGTCTTGTGCTGAATAAAAAGAAGATATGAGGCTGAGCATGAGCATTCATTTTCCTCTGCTTCCTGACTGTGCCTGCAATGTGAGCAGCTGCCTCAGGCTCCTGTCGACATCATCTCCCCACCATGATAGATCGTATTCTAGAACTGCAAGCCAATGTGAACTTTTCCTTCCTTTAGCTGTTCCTGTTAGGTGTTCTACCACCACGAACAGAGAAGTGAGGTCACTTTCTCTCTTCTGAAGACTGTTCTTGCTCCTGGTTGAGGTGACATGAAGTTATTGATTCGGGGTCAATACCTCGTATTGGCATCCTGAGTTGATTTAATATGCCCCATTATCAGGCACTGTCACTCAACAGCGATGCTAATGATTCTTCACTTGTGTCACAGCCTCTGCTGGCCCTGGAACAGAAATGAAGCAGATACTTGGCCCTCTGTCTCCAGGTGGATCCCTTGATGCTTGAGAATAGCACACCCTCTAGAGCATGAGCAGGTCAGACAGGAATCTACATTTGCACATCATCTCTCTTAACCATCAGTGAAAGATTCTTGCCCATCCCCTGTGTGATGAGGAGCAATGGGGCTTAAGGGCCACAGACTGTTTTTGGGGGTCCAGTTGTGGCCTTCTGTGTTTTGGCGGCCTCACTCAGTGGCTCCTCCCCAGCCTGTTACTTTGAAGAAAGCCCTCTTCACATCTTTGTTTCTAAGGCTGTAGATTATGGGGTTGAGAAAGGCAGAGATGACATTGTAGAACAGGGCCAGTTTCTTGTCCCTCTCTGGGGAGGCGTTGGCCCCAGGGTTCATGTACATAAACATGGCAGGGCCACAGAACATGGTGACCACAGTGATGTGGGAGGCACAGGTGGAAAAGGCCTTCAGCCGACCTTGGGCTGAGCGGATTCTCAGAATGGTAGCGAAGATGCAGACATACGAGGCCAGGATGAAGGAAAGGGGTACCAGGAGAAGGATGAAACCCAGGATAAAATCGACTTGGTCGTTGAGGGATGTGTCTGCACAGGCAAGCTTCAGAACAGCAGGGACCTCACAGAAGAAGTGATTGATCTCATTGGGGCCACAGTAGGGCAGCCTCATAGTGAAGACAGTGTAGACTAGAGAACAGCTGACACCCCACAGTCCACAGAAGACCACCATTGCCCCACACAGCCAAGGCCTCATGATAACCTTGTATCTGAGTGGGTGGCAAATGGCTACATATCTATCATAGGCCATGACAGAGAACAACCAGCCCTCAGTGATGCCTAACACCAGAAAGATGTACATCTGGGCCACACACCCAGAATAGGAGATAGTTTTCTTCTGGCAGACAAGATGCACCAGCATCTGGGGCACTGTGGTGGTGACATAGCTCATGTCCAGCATGGACAGGACACTGAGGAAGAAGTACATGGGTGTGTGGAGGCGGGAGTCCAGGTGGATCAAGGTAACAATGAGTCCATTGCCCACAAGTGTAGAGAGGTAGAGGATGAAGAAGACATTGAAGAGGATTACATTAACTTGGAAGTCCCTGGAGAAGCCCAGAAGGATGAACTCTGACACAGAGCTGTGGTTCTCCCAGGAGAAGCCTTGCATTCTTCTTCCACTGCAGAAAGAAACAGGGCCAAGCAAGACAGCTTAGAACGCACATGTAGGTGCTTCGCCCATTCTAAGACCTTAATCTTCCATGGGATTGCTGCCAGCTCAGAGACTAAAGTCTAAGTTTGGAATACTTAGCTTCTCAGGCCAAAGCCCCCAGCACAAATCGTTTCCTTGCCTTGCCTTGCCTTCCATTGTCTCCCCAAATGCCACCTGCTTCCCTCTCTCTTGGGACCCACCCTTACACATTACACCGCTTCTCATCTCCCTGGTGCAGGTTACAGAGTAGGGATGAGGATGGAACACTCCCCTCCTGTCTGAAGGCCTGTCTCCTGTCCAGAGCCCTGTCTTGGTGATTCAAACATTGAGAGAGTCGGAGATGTAGGGAGGATACACAACTTCATAAACAAGGGAAGATTTTAGTAAATTTTACCTGTAACTGTGTTTATCGATCCTCTAGAAGCTTTTGACACTTTCTTTTAGATGAGTTACTCAACAGTTCTGCCTCTTCCTCTCTTTACTCACCCCCAAAGCAAGAGTCTTCCTGCTGGACTCTATAAAGTTGACTTTGACTTAAGACAGAACAGTAGCTACCTCCCATGCTTTGAGGAGGAAGCCAGAGCTCACTGGGTTCTGATGGGGAGACTAGGCTGCAAATGAGTGAGATGAGATGTCAGGATCAAGACCTGAGGTTGGGGGAGTTTTAGCAAAGGTGGAAAAAGAGGTCAGAGCATGTGTATCCCAAAAGATGAGATAACAAAATGAGAGAGAAGTGATGTAGCGAGAACTATGAGGAAAAAACCAAGCTTCATGAGTGGCAGGTCCAGCAGGATAGGAATGAAGGGACAGAGGTACAGATGAGGTGGATGCAGATGCATGAGACTGTGATTGTTAGAAAGCTCAAGTCTACATTCCCACAGACCAGACTCAGGGACTCTTTCTTCATGGCAGCTTGGATACAAAGTGAGGAACATCTGAGCCAGGGGTTGAAAATCAGATGCCTTGCCTCAACTAGATAAAACCTCTGGCTGATGCCAACAACAAAGATGTTACAGAACAACTGTAAAATCTTCCTGCCTCACTTGACTAAAACATCCAACCATAGCCAGTCATGGTGGCACACACTTCTGATCCCAACACTCAGAAGCCTGAGACAAGAAGATATTGAGTTCCAGGCTAACCTGGGTTACACAGAGAATTCAAGGGCTTCCTGAGCTACATAGTGAGCCCCTGTCTCAAAGAAAAGAATAATCCAAGTATAGGAAGCCCAGGTGAGACAGCAGGTTACTGGGAAATACCAGGTCAGCATGAGGCTACATCATTGAGAAAGGATCCTGGTAGATCAGAGCTGGTGACGTGTTCTGTGTCTGCCATAGCCAGACTGTATGCTGAACAACATTCTCGTTCCTGGACCATACCTTAAGGGGAATGTGGACAAATCAAAACAGGCCAGAAAGAAGGCTCTGGAAGTAATATTGTGTGGAAAGAGTTGAAACAAAGAGGGACGTTTCTCCTATAGAACTGAAAAGTTAAGAGCATTTCAGAACCAGGGAACAGAGTTCTCACTCTCTAAGTCTACAGCTCTACAAGTCACGTGGAGACACAGATGAACTTTTTTATGTGGGTTCAGATAAGTCTTACCCTTAGAGGTTCCAAGAGATGAAGTTGGGAGTCATCAAGAAGGAAGGTTTTAGTGTAATAAGATATTACTGGGAGCAGCTCTAAAATGCACTCAGCTGTCCTGGGATTCTGGACGCCATTAAAGAATCAACAAAAACTAAACAGCCACCTGCAAGAATGCACTGCTGCCAGTCCTGCTCATGATGAGGTAGGAGAGTCTCCAACATGCTCCAGAGGGAAGAAAAGAGGACTTTGCCACATTTGTCTCTTTCCTTACCCTCCAGCTTCCCCTAAACCCGGTGCCCGAGCTACAGCAGAAACTCCTAATAGGCATCTCATTGTCGGTCCCTGCTTTAAAAAAAAAAAACTGACCAGACTATGATGCAGAGTGGAGAAAGTGAGAAGGATGGTACAGAAGGGAGATCAGTAGAAGAACCAGGGATAGGTAAAGGAGTCAGCCCAATTATGATCGCCTAGGCTAGAGGCGACCCAGAGGGAATGGTTAGGATGCCAGGCTCCACTCTGCTGCTTCTTTGTCCTTCTCCAATAAGACTGCATGCATCTTCCTAGTTTCAGGGTCTGCCTTCAGCTTCCTGACTCTCATAAAACCTCAAATAAGCTTTTTTTAAAGCCATTACTGCAATTTCTCATCTCCATCTTTACCTTCACTACCAGTCCCCTTGTCCTGTATCTCAATCTAAGGACCCAAATCCTGGAATGCTGAGGGGAGACCACTGCTTCGTCTCCACAGACACAGCCTCCTCCTCCTTCCGCTTTCCTCTGTTGCAACTGAATAACATAACAACAAATAAAGAGATGCAAAGAAACAGAGAGAGCCACACAGAGACATCAGTGATCAGAACAGCACAGAGATCAGTGAGAACAGAAGCCAGGGCTGAAATTCTTGGTGTGAGCAGAAGGGATTTGGAAGCAGGCAGTTGTGGTGCAAACAGATGGGGTTGGGGTTGGGGATGGGAGATGGGGTGGGGGTGATGGGGACAGATGGAGCACATCAGGTAGGACTGTGTGGACTGTGTATCTCAGGCAACTACCTCTGCCTCTCCCTTCCTTACCTGACCCAAGCTCTGCGTGAAGGTTGAGCCAGGAGTGGGCTAGGTTTTCTTTTAACATTCTTCTCCCAGTCCTCAGGGAAGACGAAGCTGTAGCTTCTTAATGAGCCTTCAGGGCCTTCGGGTCCTCTGGGTCTCACTGAAGCCCTCCAGACCCAGAGCACACATTTCACCATTTCCCTTCCCACAGAAGGCCCGTAGCCAACGTCCTTGATCCTCCCAACCCCAAGTGCCCTGTTCCTGAGTCCTTTCCTTTTCCTTCTTCGCTGTCCAGTGGAGATGGGTACGGAAAGATGAAGTGGAGTAAATGCAAGAGCAGGGCCTATGGAGGGGGCTTAGATGGTAAATAACTTGTTGCCCACACATGAGGAGCTGAGTTTAATGCCTAGAACCCGTCCATGTAAAAGTCAGACATGGTGATGTGTACTTGTATTCACACAGATGAGGAAGCAGAGACCGTGGGATCTTTAGGGTTTGCTCTCCAGCTAGCCTAGCTTAATTGGTGAGCTCCAGGCCAACAAGAGACTCTGTCTCCAAATAAGGTGGACAGCACCTGGGCAGCAAACTAAGGTTAACATCCAGACCTATGTCACATGCATCTGCATATACATGCGAACATGCACATACACACAGGGAAGACTTGTAAGGATGAAGTCTGGACATACATGTTGGGGAAGCTTTCCATGAATCATAAAAAAATGAATGTGTTTCCCAGAGCCTGTGGGGGTCAAGCACTAGAGCTCTTGCCCTCGGCCTCCGAAGTGTCTTATTCTCTATCATGTTCTGCTGGGTACTGGGCTATGTTGTGTCCTGAAATTTTATAGCCCTGAAATACTTTGTCTTTCTGGAGAGAAAGGAATATGACTTAAGTAACAGAGGGATTCTTCAAGAAGCCTGGGCCAAGATGAGGCAATGGATAAATACTCTAATGAGAGCAAAAGTCCAGGAAGACCAGCAATCAAATCCTGGTTATACCACTTAATAATATGGTAATAGTTGACAAGATGCCAACCCTCTGTACCTCAGTTTCCACAACACCAAAATGAAACAATAATAGTATAGGACAGTTACAGGGTTAACTATGAGCACATACAAAGTAGATGTGATAGAATATGCATATAATTTAGGCTAGATGTGATGTTCCCATTGATTTATTCCAACCAATGCTCATAAATCTGTCCCCACTGGATTTCAAGATAGAATATGAAGATGCCATGGGTTCCAAAGGACCTTGGATTGAGAAAGTCAAGGGTCTTGGGTGTGAGAACCTTGGGTGCCAGAATAAGGTGATGAAAGATGTGCTCAGGGCTTAGAAAGGCTGTGATGGGACCTGGAATATCCCACGGCACAGAAGGCATATAAAACACAAGACTAGGGGCTGGGGAGATGGCTTAGTTGTTGAAGTGTCTGCTGAGCAAGCTTGAGGACCTGAGTTTGGATTCCAGGAATCGAGGTAAAATCTGGGTATCACATCTGTAACCTTAATGCTTGGTGGTTGGGGGCAAAGACAAACAGATCCTTGGCCACTCAGCCTAGCCAATTGGTGAGTTTCAAGTTCAGTGAAAGATCCTATTAAAAAAATAAGACAGGGAACCATATTGTTGAGTTATCGGGGGTGAAGCTTCCCTGTCAATGCTGAGACACAGTCACATAGCAATTTTCTAGTCCTCTGGTTCTTACAATCTTTCCACCCCCTCTCCCATGATATTCTGCTGAGCCTTAGGTGTGGAGTTTGTGTTGTAGATGTATTAACTTGGGCTGGACAACCCACAATCAGTTGCTCTATGCATTTTGACCAGCTGTGATTTTCTGTAATGGTCTCTGTCTGCTGCAAAGAGGAGCTTCTGTGATGAGGTGTGGAAACCACAGTTATCTGTGAATAAATCACAAGTGCTGTGATTTAGGTCTGACTAATGACCTTCACATGCCCCTTATATGACCTTGGAGCAGTTTCCTTGACAATATTTTACATTATTAGATAAAATTATTTTACATGTTCTTGAGAGCTTTTGGTGAATGTTTATGAGAGATGTCAATTTATAGTTGTCTTTTCTCGTGATGTCTTGGCTTTGGTGAGGGATGTGTTGGAAAGTTCTACTTTCTCTTTTGTCTCTTTTGAAGTTTGGAAGGATTGGTATTGAGCTTCATAAGCTGGGAAAAGTTGTCAGTGAACCACCTGGTCCTTGAGCTCTTCTTTGAGAAGTGGATAAATTACTAATTAAATCAGCTAGTGTGCTGTATTTTAACTTTCTATTCCTTTTTGAAGCAGTTCTACTACTTTCTATCTTCCTAAATGTGACACAGCTTAAGGCTACTTGACTTGCTGGAGTACACTATTAGTAGTATTTCCCTATAATCTTTGTGTGAGCCCCTTAGTAACCTTCCCTCTTTCACTGCAGGTTTTAATAATTGATCTCCTCGCTTTCTTTTCCTTTGGCCAGTCTCACTTTTGTCAATTACATTGATCTTTTGAAGAAACCATTCTTTATTCCATTCATTTTCTCTGATTTTTTTCTACCCCCCATTCTACTTCTGCTTGAATCTTTGCCTTCTCGCTAGTTTGCTTCCTGCTTGTTCTCTTTTGCGTTTGATTGATGGTATAAGATCTCACACTGTATCCTGGACCAGACTCAGACTCTCAGCAATTCTGCATCAAGATCCTAAGTGCTGAAATCTCAGGCATGAACCATCACACCTTGGTGGTTTTCTTTTATATACTCACTTTCTTAAAGTTAGTGAGTTGGAATCCTCCTCCTCCTCAATATAGAATTTTATAACTTAAAATTTCCCTGTAAGCATCATTTTTGCTGAAATGGGTATTATTTGTGCCTGCAACATTTTGCCAAATTTGTTAGTTAGTTCTAGGAGATCTTTTTCTTTAATCAAAAAAAATGTGTATTTTATGTAAATGGGTATTTTGTCTACATGTACATCTGAACACCAAAAGAGGACATTGGGTTCCGTGCGACTATAACAATAGACAGTGGTAATATGCCACAGGGTGCTGGGAATTGAAGAACAGTCAGTGCTCCTAACCACTGAGCTATTTCTCCAGCCCCAGTGAAAACTTTGGCTTTCTCTTTTCTTTTCATTTCTTTGTTTTTCTAGATGGGGTCTCTGTACATAACTCCAACTATCCTGGAACTCACTATGTAGCCAGACTGGGACTAAAGGCATGCTCCACAATGCTGGATGAAGGTTTTTTTGGGGTTGTTGTTTGTTTGCTTGTTTTGGATTAAAAATGTGGTGTGTGTGTGTGTGTGTGTGTGTGTGTGTGTGTGTGTGTGTGTGTGCGTGTGTGTGGGTTTGGGTAAATGTCTGCATATATATGTGAACTGTTTGTGTGACTGATGCCCATGGAGGGCAGAAGGTGTCAGATGCCCTAGAGCTGAAGTTATAGGTTTCTGTGAGCCACATGGATGGGTGCTAGGAACCAAACTCCCATCCTCTGCAAGAGCAGCAAGCACTCATCTCTCCATCCCCCTGCTTTAGACACAAGGTCTTATGTACTCAGCATCTTTGTGTGTGAAGTTACATGGGGGTTTTTGTAGACGTCTTTTATTGGAGCAAAGAAGTCCCTTTCTAGTCTCAATTTTGAATGGGTTATGATTTTTTTAAGAAATAATTTTGCTTTGTTGTTGTTACTTTGTTTTATTTTGTTTTACCATGAACTGGAGAAAAGATATCCAAGCCATTTGCATTTGAGATAACTTTATGAAAATGTATTTGATACATCTTAGCAGCTCTTTCTGTTCAAGGGATTCAAGGCCAAGATTCAGGCCGTACTCTGTAAGAATTCTTCCTTCTTCCTTTTTAAAAATTTTTTTTTTTTTTTTGGTTTTTCGAGACAGGGTTTCTCTGTGTAGCTTTGCGCCTCTCCTGGAACTCACTTGGTAGCCCAGGCTGGCCTCGAACTCACAGAGATCCGCCTGGCTCTGCCTCCCGAGTGCTGGGATTAAAGGCGTGCGCCACCACCGCCCGGCCTTTTTTAAAAATTTTATTGGAAATAGATTCTTCTCTCATACAATACATCCCAACAACAGTTTCCCCTCTGTCCACTCCTCCCAGCCCCCCAAATCTCAGCTTTCCCCTGCCCAGATCCACTCCCCATCTATTTCCTCTTCAGAAAAGAGCAGGCCTCCAGGAGACAACAGCCAAACAGGACCAAACAAGATACAATAAGACCAGGCAAAAGCCCTCATGTCGAGGCTGGACAATGCAACCCAATAGGAGGAAAAGAATCCCAAGAGCAGGCGAAAAGAGGCAGAGGTACACCAGCTCCCACTGTTAGGAGATCCCGCAAAAATGCCATGCTAGCAATCAACATTTGCACAGAGTGTCTGCTGCAGATCCACACAGGTCCCATGCTCGGTGCTTCAGTCTCTGTGAGCCCACGTGAACCCTGCTCAGTTGATTCTATGGGACATATTCTCCTGTCCTCCATCTCCTCTGACTCCTACAATCTTTCCTCCTCCTGTTCTGCAGGGTTCTCTGAGCTCTGAGGGGAGGGACCCAATAGAGAACTCCAAATTAGACTCTCTCTCCCCATGTCTGGCGGTGGATCTCTGCATCTGCTCCCATCTGCTGCCAGAGAAAGCTTCTCTGATGATGAGTAGTCAAGGCACTGATAGATGAGTACAGAAGAACATCATTAGGAATCATTTCATTGACTTTTTTTTTTTTTTTTTTTTTTTTTTTTTTTTTTTTTGCCGGTCATGTTTGGTTCGACGCTAAACAAGTCTCCATTGTATAGGTTGATGTCCTTGTTGCCTCTAAGGCCAGAGTTGAATGCTTAGTCCATGGTACTAATAGTTCTTAAACTTTTAAGATCTGAAAATATATAGGAAATTTCCTGAAGAAACCCACAAGGCATTTTTATAAACAGGTGAAAAGACATCAGGAAAGTGTGGGGTGTGGGTATCTATTGGACCCGCCTATGCAGACGCCTGAGAGGTCGATGGTAGCCCAAGTGCAGGGGTCATGTTGGGAGGTGGGGGAATTGGGTGGGCCTGCTGTGGGTTTTCAGTGCTCTGAGAACTCCAAGGAGAAAGCCCCTTGGACTCCACAGATGCCCCTCACATGCCCCCTCTAATGACCTCAGAGCATTTTTCTTAATAAGTCCCCAAGAAACACAATGAGCACACATTGCTGACAACTCTATTTCTATCTGTAGAAAACCCAGGGCTGTCCCCCTTGGAGGCTGAGTCCTTCAGGCCGTAAACCTGCCCTGGAGACTCCCTCTGCAGTCCCACATCACCCCAGAGCCGTGTTCTTTAGTGCTTGGGGGCTATTAGCAACCGTGGAAGCCACAGTTGCTTTCTATTCTGGAGAAAACAGCTAACGAGCAAAGCACACTGTTAGCATTTATTGGTCTTTTGTAACATTTCAGCCATTCTTGGTCTACAGACAAATTTTTTTAAAGTTTTTCCTATTTTTTTATTGTTTAAAAAAACTATACAATCTATTTTGATCCTATTCTTTCGCCTCATCCAACTCCTACCCATTCAACTTCATGTTATTTCTCTCTCAAAAAAGTCAAAACAAACAAATAAAATCAAATAAGACAGAACAAAAAACAAAAACAATAAAAAGGACACAAAAAAAACCAAAACTTATTTCAAAGCAGTTAAAATCAGCAGGGATGTTTTTAATTTGATCTTGTGTTTATGTGAAGAATGCTTAATTTAAAAGATTTGCTTGTATTACTTTTTGCTAAGCACTTTAATAATTTGCCTTAAACTAGAATGATAGAAAAAATCCAATACAGAAAAGATTTATTTATTTTATTTCATCTGTATGAATGTTTTGCTCTCATGCATGTTTGTTCTCTACATGCCTACTAGATGCCCTCAGAGGCCAGAAGATGGCATCAGATCCCCTGAAACTGGAGTTACAGACAGTTGCGAGCCACCATGTGGGTGCTGGGAATTGAACTTGGGTCCTCTGCAAGAGCAGCAAGTGTTCTAAACCATTGAGCCATTTCTCCAGCTATTGATAGAAATTTTAATTGATTTGAAACATCAGAAGTGGTTTGGTTCCTAATTAATGTGGCAGCTGATGTTATGAGTGTGCCCCATTAAAATCAATCTGTCTCTCTGTCTCTCTCTGTCTCTGTGTCTGTGTCTCTGTCTCTGTCTGTCTCTCTCTGTCTCTCTCTCAAGCATGACTCTGTATGTGCATTCAATGGCTACCATTGACTGTCCCCATAACACCTGACTGGACAATGAATCTGTTCTTCACATCCAAGGTTGAGAAACCCAAGCTTCTGTTGATAGTTGAATGCTCTGGAGTGGTCACGCACATCATTACTTAAATGCAAAGCCCTCTTCCCATCTGAGGTGTAAACCAATTTTCTAGTCAGCCAATAGAACATGTCACCATCCCCATTTGAGTCAGAAGAGGATTGGATTCTAGAGAGTATGGTTGGTTTTTCTTTAGATCTCAATAAATTAAGCCAAGGTCAAAGTCCAGGGTCCTTCCCACTGTCTCTGGCAGCAGAGAAAATTGAAGGGAAAATCAGTTGTTGAATCCAAATATTTCCTTTGTAAGTAAAAGTCTGTGTGCCTACAAGTCACAACTGGAGCAGACACAACGAAATGGGAGAGAGGCCCATAAAAGGGAAGGTCTGAGAGCAGAGCTGATCAACTCAGAACAACGAGGAGGATGGACCTAGGAGGAATGCCTCCCACCAAGAAACATGGATTGAGACGTTGCTATTGAACTGCATAATCTGTTAGCTCAGGCTGCAGAACTCTGGTGAGGAAGGGCTGATTTCTCAGCATAGCACTAGACTCCAGGGATCTGGCCCTGGTGTTATGACCTGAGAATAAGACTCTTTTTCTTTTTTTGAGACAAGGTCTCATCATATAACTCTGGCTGTCCTAGAGCACTCTGTGTAGCCCAGGCTGGCCTCAAATGCACAGAGATCCACCTCTCTCTGCCTCCGGAGTGCTGGGATTAAAGGTGTGCGCCGCCATGCCCGGCTACAGTGATATTCTTGAGTCTCTATCTTGCCCCAGTCTTAGGCACTCATTGTCTCGGCTAAGGCTCAGGTGTTCTCTCGGATGCTTCAGAGTTACATCGTGTAATACACAAGAACCTGGGCCTTGGGACTAGTCCCCGGGTTCAAACCTCAGCCATGTCACTTTCTAGCTTGATTATTTATTAGTCAATTATTATTGATTAATATTTCCAGAAAATTATTTAGTGTTTTTGTGTTTTAGTGTCTTTATTTGTATGAAGGATATATAACACATCTCTAGAGTTAACATGTGAATTAAAATAATAAATACTTATCAGTCAGGCAGGGTGAACACATCTGTATTTCCAGATATCCAGGAATCTAATTACTTAATCATATGAATTCAAAACCAGCCTAGGCAATGTAGTGAGACCCCACCTCAAGAAAAAGAGGATGAAGAGGAGGAGGAAGAGGAGAAGGGGGAGAAGGAAAAGGAGAAGGAGAAAATGAAAACCACCACAAAAAGAAAGAAAAAGAATAAAGCACTGAGTGACTGTTACACAAATGTAATGTTAGTTAGTATCATTTGGACATAATGCATATTTACCAAACACACTTGACAACTGGAAATTAAATCCCGAAGAAATGAGGTGACTATTCCAAACCCATGTGACTTTTCCAAAGCCATAGAAGGTCAATGATATGGCTAAATCTTGGGCACAATTCTTGAGTCTTTTCCTAACGTATCCATTAGCAAATTGATGTGAAAGGTTTTTTTCTTGTGTTTCCCTCATCCTGAGAATCCTCTCTCATTTACTCCAAGAACTTCAGCGAAACTGTGGGTGGAAAACCCAAGGGACCAGAGGCGCTGCAGACAGCCTTGCTCCATGGCCTACTGAGTGTCCTCACCCCTTCCAATCAACTTGAGAAAAGCCCTCTTCACATCCTTGTTCCGGAGGCTGTAAATAATGGGGTTAAGAAAGGCAGAAATGACATTATAGAACAAGGCCAACTTCTTGTCATCTTCTGGGGAGGCTTCAGAACCAGGTCTCATGTACATGATCATGCATGGAATACAGAACATGGTAACCACAGTGATGTGTGAAGCACAGGTGGAGAAGGCCTTCATCCGCCCTTGAGTGGAACGGATCTTCAGAATGGCTATGAAGATACGAACGTACGAGGCTAGGATGAGGGATAATGGTATCAAAAGCAAGATGAAACCCAGGATGAAGTCCACTTGGTCATTGAGGGATGTGTCTGCACACGCCAACTTCAAGACAGCGGGGATTTCACAAAAGAAGTGGTTGATTTCATTGGGGCCACAGTAGGGAAGATTCATTGCAAAGACTGTGTAGACAAGGGCACAGATAAGACCACAAAGGGCAGAGCTGGCCACCAGCATTATGCATAGGGTTTGGCTCATCTTAACTCCATAATGGAGTGGATAACATATAGCAACATATCTGTCATAGGCCATAGCTGCAAAAATCCAGGTCTCAGTGATGCCTAGTGTCAAGAAAATGTACATCTGGATTACACACCCAGTGTAAGAGATGGTCTTATTCTTGCTTACTAAAATTGCCAACATCTGGGGCACTGTTGTGGTAGCATAGCTGAGGTCCAGCAGGGAGAGGATACTGAGGAAGAAGTACATGGGTGTGTGTAGACGAGCGTCTATCCTAATCAGGGTAACAATGAGCCCATTGCCCAGGACTGTAAATAAGTAGAGGAAGAGGAAGAGGAAGAAAAGGATCCAATTAGTTCTGGGGTTTCTGGAGAAGCCCAAGAGGATAAACTCAGTTACAGAGCTGTGATTTCTCCAGGCTCGATTGTGCATGGCCTTCTTTCTGAGGAGAGAAGAGGACATATAACTGAGTCCTTTGCAATCTCCATGACAGAATGCTATGTGAAATCCACAGATGGGGAGTTGAAGGTAAAATGCCCTCCTCCTCATGTCCGGAGAGTAGTCTATCCAAATTGGCCTTGCCTAGCTCTAGTTACTTAGTAGAAATTCCACTAAGGACTTTTCGGGTTGTCCAATTAAATATCCCTGATAAAAACCAAGGTTCCTGTGAGAAGCTGTATAGAACAGAAGTCTTACTTAGAAGAAAACACACACACATACACACACACACACACACACACGCACGCACGCACGCACGCACGCACGCATGCCATAAAGCAGTCAAACTAAGGAGGCTAGACATGCCTGTTGTTCCCTAATGCCATTATTTCAAGACTTCAAGAGGCAATGTTTTTAAACAAGTTTTTTTTAAAAAAAAAAAAAAGCCTAGGAAAGTAAGAAAAAGGAAAAATCACGACCACAGCACCCAACTTATCCCTCTCCCTTCTTCCTCTCTGATTTTGTACAGAACCCACATGTCATACATTTTCAAAAAAAAAAATACTGTGGCCTTCCTTGAGTACCCTTGAGTGTGGCCCTCTGTCAAGAGTGGCATTGTATTTATTTCTGATCTGTATTCCTTGTCAATTTGCTTTTGAATAAAGTTTCCCTGATACTTTACAAACAAAACAAAACAAACTATCCCCATTTTTGTTCCTTTAGAAGCTCTGCTCCCTCATCCTACCTTCCCAACCCTTCCTGCAGGGGTACAACTGTGCACAATAAATTAACACACAATGATAACCACTGGGACTCTAATTTTGAAAGCCAGAGAAGAGTTCTGTCTTCTAACATTTCCCAAAAAGACAAAAGACACGGACTTGGGAATGGAATCGTTGTGAGTCTGGACACTGTTCTTAATCAGCAGTGAGGAACCCTTCACAGCTCTGTCTCTCACAGGAGAGGTGAGGGGTGGGTGCAGGTGGATCTTCACTTTAACATGGACTCAATCCTCAATCTGAGTTTGGCAGCCTAGCATCAGAGGATATTCCTGACCAGTCTTTCTATCTGTGTCCCTTTGCTGGTTCTTAAATGCCTGCTACAGAATGCCACCACTTGGGGATTCCAAATTATTTTCTAGATCCTGAAAAGGGAAATGGGCATTTATCAAGAATTACTGTAAAAATAAAGGTTTTACTTGATGTTATCTCATTTCCACCACAACCCACTGAGGTCAGAACCACTTTTTTCCTTTACAAAGAATTAGAGTGTTGAAACCTGGGATGTGGTAGAACCAGGAACCAAACTTCAAGTCCTATGTTTTCAACATGTGAAGTTCAAGTTTGTCTCCCATATCATCCATTTTCACAAAGAGTTTAGCAATGGTCCCAAATACAATGCACATCCACTCTAGATGTCATTGTGTGGGAAACCTGACCTGCCTAGTCAATGATAGAGGACAGAAAGCATATATTTCACATTGGAAAATGAAGGGTTTTTTTTTTCATATAAAATGCTCAAACTTTGGATCAGGATTACAGTATCTGAGATTCTGCACAGAAAGTAAAGAGCAGATTATTTTCAACCTAGGTTAAAATCACATTCCATAAAACCATGGGCATAATTCAGCCTAAAATGGAGATGGAGATGCTTGCAGTGTTTGTGTTAGAGGCCAGATGTTATAGAACAGGGGACAGTGGGGTCTGGATTTGAATCCACACTCAACTGCTAACAACACAGACTTTTGATGCCCATCAATCTGAAATGTAGATCCATCTAGATCCATTGATCCAGCCGATTTCTTTACTATCTATCTCCCCTGGGATAAGCAAGTTGTATCTGACATTTTCTAACCCAGACTCCCAGTGCCCTCTGCAGAACAATTCTTACCGTCTTTCTCCACTTGGTGAGTGGTGATTTCATCCCTGGAGGGGACTAAAGTGAAAAAAGAGCCCCAAGATCTTTCAAACATTCTCTTTTTCACACACTTCATGTGCAATACATCAGAAAATATTGTTAGTTGCCTTTTCAAATATGAGAAAGAAAAGATCACTTCTCACCATATCCACCATATCCACCATATCTACCATATCTACCATATCCACCATATCCACCATATCTACCATATCCACCATATCCACCATACCCACCATACCCACCATATCCACCATATCTACCATTACCTAAGTTATCTCTTCCTTCCAGGAGTTTTGCAGCATCCTCTGAATACTCCCATGTTTCCTCCTCTTTCCCCACAGTCCTCTCCATCCAGTTATTTAGAATGAGCATTTTAAAAAGGTCATCATGTAAATCCTCTATTAAAATACTCCAGTGAAGCTGGTTGGAGTGACACACACCTCCAGTCCCAGCACTCGGGAGGCAGAGGCAGGTATGAGTTCAGAACCAACCTGGGCTGTAGAATGAGATGCTGACTTAAAGTAACAACAACTACCACTATGGTGGATTCTTTTAAAAAGTATTACTCACTCTCCCGTCCTCTGTCTCTCTGTCTCCCTGTCTCTGTCTCTCTGTCTCTGTCTCTCTCTGTCTCTCTCTCTCTGTCTCTCTCTCTCTGTCTCTCTCTCTCTGTCTCTCTCTCTCTCTCTCTCTCTCTCTCTCTCTCTCTCTCTCTCTCTCTCTCTCTCTCTCTCTCTCTGTATGTGTGTGTCTGTGCACATTTATGTGTGGTCACATATGCACCACAGTATACCTGTGAAGGTCAGAGGAAAACTTACAGGAGTTAGCTTTTTTTTTTTCCCACAAATTAGGCTGAGGGATCAAACTGGAGTAGGCAGCTTAGCAGCAAGCTCCTTTACCCACTGAGGCATTTTGCTGGCCCTGTAGTGGCTTCTTGGGTCCCTAGGAAAGGCCAAAGTCCTCTGAAGGCTTCAAGATCACACAACACTTCCCAGTCCCCACTTTCTACCTCTCACTACTCGGCCTGCTCCAGTCATACACCCCTTTGCTGTTCCTCACTCAAAGACTACTGCTGTTTCTGCACTTTTTTAGAATTCTGTGTCCTCTGCTAGTGGTTATCTTTCTGTGGGTCACACTCTCGCTTCCTACAAGTGTTTGCTCAAGTGTGGTCTTCTCAGAGAATGTCTAATTCCTTCCCGACCACCCTGTTCAAAACGGGAGCATTCCGTCCTCTATTCCTACCTCCTATTGGCCTCTCTTCATAGTGCTTTCTAATGTAATACATAATTTAAATGTTTTTTTCAATTTCCCTTGCAAGAACACAGGACCTTTCTTCTCTTGATGTGTCATGTATCACATTGCGTATTAGCAGATTCTAGGACAATGCCTGGCACTTAGTAGGAATTTGTAGGTTGAATAGGCTGGCCACCAGCCTTGTGAGAGATGGCAGTGCTGTCCTTGGTTCTGAAGTTCAATTCCTATAGGGCTAGACAGAAGGCTGACCTTCAAGGGCTTTCTCTTGCATTTCTACAGTTCTAGGGATGCGCGGGGGGGTGGGGGGGGGTGTCCAAGTGGAGTCTGGCTCTGATCACTTAATCCATTCTCCATAATCACCCCACTAAATCACCAAGTCTACCTACCATTACACAATCTTAAAACTAAGGAAACAGGTCCAACAGGTAAGCGGCACCCACTGGTTTCCCAGAACATTCTCCAATTCATGCACCTGCAATTTAACACAGGGAAGGTTTTCTAGCTGCCACTCGAGACAGACCTTCTCATTTGCTGACCTCTCAACTGGGCCTACTTCACAAAGCTGTGGTGCAGTATCTATCAAGAAGGCAGGAGGGGCTCTGAGGTAAAAGAAAATCATATTTGCGTTAAAGTCCACCATTTGTCAACAGCACAAACTAGAGAAAGCCATTAGGCCCTGTCTCAGGACTCACAAAACTAGGATAATAGTACATACTTTGAAGGGCTCATCAATACTGACTGAGTTTTTGGGTATATGTAACACTGTAGCGTTGAACATCAGTTATTATTACTGCTATTATTTGGTTACTCATCATGTTGAATGAGTAACTCTTTCCTGTTTCTTTCTCTTGGTAAAATTCTAATCATGGAAGTCTTTCATGATTCCCACCCTGTTCTTCCTCTGTCATCTGGTTGGACATTTGAAGGCACTTCCGTTACTGCTCATAGCCATGCTGACACACACTGACCTGTAGAGTTCCTTAAATATGAAAATTCTCACCTCTCTCATCTGTCTCTAATTCTTAGCATGTAGCATGGACAGTGGTAATAAGTCTTAGACAGATGACTATGAAATTATGTCCATGCTAAAATAGTGAGTTATCTACAATGATGGACATCTTGTCCAGTGGTTGCCCCATCACCTGGAGGATCTTTACCAGGTTGTCAACTATCAATACAACCAGAGTTCTCTCCTTGGCTATTGGAGAAATTTATCATGAACATGATGATAGTTTTTAATCTTTCTCAGATGAACTTCTCCTTCAGTAATAGTGAGATGGAATTAAGGTGATAAATAGACAAGGATAGAAGCAACTTTCCCCGAGCATGACCCGGTTACCTTGCATCAAAGACAGGATGTCATTAACAGCATGGACAGTAGAACAAGCTTGGGTGCTAGCGCTGATTGATAATTAGCAGATTAGCCTGGGGCAAAGTATCTAAATTCCTTGTGTTTCCATCCTCATCTAGAAGTCAGAACTCATCTCAAAAGGTGCTGATAATAATTAACTAAAGCATTACATGGAAACTGGCTTAATGTGGTGACTGCCACAGAGCATCTAACATAGTATTTGTCACTATTATGTTAGTTTATCATTACAAGTTCTTTTTATTCTGAAGGGTTAGAAAAGGGGAAAGAGGCAGAGAGTAACTTGCCTGATGGTGCACAGCTACTGAGAGACAAAATCCACCTCTGCCATCTCCAAAGACCTTTCTTTAATGGACTCTGCTATTCCAGTGCCATCCTGATGCATCACAGTGTTGGAGCAATGGCTTGTAGTGAACTGGTGGGAATTGCCTTCTCAGGGGCTTATCTTATCCCTCAAGCTCCTTACCTATCTTCCCTTCCTGATTCCAGGTACAGTGTACACCCCTGCTTCATACCCATGTCTTGCAACTACCTTAGACAGTTCCAGAATCCAAGTATTGGACTGGAAGAGGGCCCTACTTCAGCCACTCTCCAAAGCTACTGAGTCTCAGCAACTCCCTTGAAGA